GGTGACTAAATAATTGAGCAAGGCTGCTTCTTAGGTCATAACACCATTGCATTAAAGAGTCAATTAAAATCAAATCAAAGGAAAGACTGTAATTAGTGATATTATTAAGCATAGCCATCAAACAGACGTACCTTTACACTGTCTGACTTCATTTCGTTTTCTTCATACAGGCCTTTCATAAAACCAGTAGTCCTGATGACCTGAAAATGGTTGAAAAAGGGTCGTTTTAAACAGACATGAAACTACAACGATATGCCATTTTTAGCTTCTGTACATCGAGAAGTTCACTCCGAAGTCTGTTTGTATGTATGTGCAGGAACAGTGCTTTTCACCTATGGGCTAAAAAAAACAAACAATTTTTGCTGAGCATTAACCTAAACATTAAAGTAACACAACAACCACAAAAAAAAAAACTTTATAGCTTTAGGAATTTATGCCCTACAGTCATATTCAGACATATTCCTAGTCAGAGGAGGGGAGTCCAACATGCTGACACTCTTCCCTTTATCAAATATGCATGAACCTGGAGTGAAATATAAGACTGCTGAACAGGTGAGAATGAGTTGGCACCTCTGTTGAAAAGAGTGTAACAGATTTTACTCTGCTTGACACCTTATGTAAAAGGAGTCAACTGTGCATATAAAATGCTGAAAAAGAAAATGAAAGAAGCCGCAAGTGAGCAAAACAAGTTTGATCATAAAGATCAGCAGTGTACTAACAACAGGGCACTGACAACAGGCCGTGGAGATGATGCAGTGTTTCCTGTGTGTCTATGTGTGTGTGTTTAAAGAACCATGATACTATCGCAGCAGTTGTACTTACTCAGAATGGATCTTTGGAAGGGTGGCCACAGACAACATTAGAATACATTCATATATTGTCCTGTCATTTCTGATTCTTAACCCAAAAAAGTAAAAACTGAGAAAGGTTCTCTTTTGCCTCTTTTGTTTACACATTAGACTCATCAATCTTTTCTTTCTTTCTTTAACTCCCTTTTAACAGAAATCCTCCAACAGAAGCACGCTCAGGGAGGGGCACAGGAAAGAGAACAGAAAAGAGCACATAGGGAGTCAGGACAATAAAATGCTTTCTACTTTCTGTGTCAGAAGTGCCAGGTGTAATCACAACCTAGACCCATTCTGAACCAGAAAACTCTCACGTGGTACAATTGCTTGTCTAATGCACATAAAATACCTGTGAGAGTATGTAACTGACCTTGATCTGTATATGCACTTCTCTTCATCTGAGAGTGTTTTACTCTAGGCCAAAGAAGACAGATCTTCCTGGCAAACCCCAGAAAGACATCGGCTATAACTTCATCATATATGCATGCCTTGCAAGTAGCTTTAAATAAATGAAGGGAAATCAAAGAAACACCAATTATAGCACAGCCTGTGCTTGTTTTTAGCTGTAATCATAAGCTGATCAGCATCTGTGTTCTCAACGTGACGGATTCAAGGAACCTAGCACAGGTTCATCCTAACTGGCAGGTGCCCTCCTTTAAGCCAACAGCGGGGAAAAACGGTTTGTTGATTCGTGTGTGCGCTCAGGTCGTGCCTAGCAACAAGACGACGCTGCTGAAACAGCTAGCTCACTTGCTAACCCACCATATTAACTAAAGCGCAACCTGTCATTTAAATGAATTGCTAATGCACCCCTTGACTATCGGGATTAGTGTTACTGACAATCTGGAGCCGCAGAAATCGGAGCTTACAAAATGTTCCGTAATATTCGCGAACTTACTTTGTTAGCTTCATGCTAACTTTTATGCATTAGCCGGCTAACTAGCTCCCGTGTCTGTGTTTTTAACTTAGAAGTGGCATTAGGCTTTGCTAGGCTTCTGAGAAGAGTGTCGCGCCCCTTAAATAAAGCCCAGCTTGCTTTCTCGAGTGTAATGTCAGCAGCTGAGTCTCACCTCACTGAAGATATCGTGCAGGTATCGAAAAGGAGGCTTGCTTAGCAGTTTCTCGGTGAGCGGCGGCTTCTTTATCACTTTGCCCAACGTGTCCTGGGTCTTTTTCACCACTGCCGCATTCATGGTAGTAAATAAAAAGCCAAGCTAAGTACTTTTAACCAAGAAAAAATACACGAAACTAACTAGGAGTGAAAAACTTAGTGACTCTGTCGCCTGGTTGCTATGTCAATGTCCTGCAATCCCACAGTGCATCATTTAAGAGGACTGCGCCTGCGCCAAGGGCTTACCGTTGCCAAGCGGTCTTTGTGTCCATAGCAACAACTAACAATCGGCTAGATAAGTGGCTAGACAAAGTAGATAGATGGAAAATTCTTTATTATTTCCGCCAAAACAGAACAGCGTGGTTGAAAAGAGAAGCAACTAGATAAAAGCATTCAATATGCATACAAAATAAAACAGGCCATTCATCAACTGTAAGTTTTGGAAGCCAGACTACAAAGATACAGTACTCGGGATTGCAGAGGCGTAAAGAAGTATTTACCGAGTTCCGGTATCAGTATTTACAACAACAGAAATTAATTCGCTTTAGAAAAAATACTCCGCTGCCTGCCCCATAAGTTTTGGAGACAATGGCCAGGAAAAAAAATTAAAATGGGCCATACATCCCTGTCTTTATTCGGGCATGGAGCGGGCACCTTTTAAGAGAACGAAATTCGAATTCAAATAAAAAGTTATTGAGTTATTTATTTATTCTTAATCCATAGACTGAAGTTTCATATAAAAGCCCATAAAGGATATATATGTTTTTAAACTTACAGAAGGGATAATAGCCAAATTAATGCTAGCTTCCCTATCTGCTGGTGTAATCCCATTACACAGCACAATTGTTTTTAATAAGGCAGTGCGTGCTTGTTTTGTTTTTTTTAAACCTATTATGATATACCTGTTTGACAAGTTCGATAGAAAAGAAAATCTGAAAATAGAGAGCGCACATAGGAGCGTCAGAGCAGATGCTTGTTGCTTCATATTGACGAGGTAAGAGATTTACCTGCTACCTGAATATCTTCATTTACTTTAAAAAAAAAGTATTATGATTCCTTTCAAAGCTAGCTTTTAGTGAGATGCCTCACTAAAAGTTTGAAAATGATTTGTAAATGAAGGAATTTTAATTATAATTATTTCAAATTACACTTTTTCACATTATTTCGGAATTGATATTTTCCTGATTACAAATACAAGTGTGGTAACTATGTGTAGAATTACAGCTTATAAACTATTTTATTTACATGGTCTCAGGTGAACCATTAATGAATTCTTGCTTGCTTGCTCCTTTGGCTTCATTGTTACTCTGCATACCGCCTTGTAAATCCTAGTTAGGTGTGTTTGGTGAGTCAGTGCAGCTCTAGATATCTGTCAAATGTGAGTCAGGCTAAAACTGATTTGTGTTTTGTATTTAAATATAAATGTCACTGAATTTCCTTGGAACTCATTTGCCAACTTTCACAGCAGCTCTCTGAAAGGACAAGGAACAATGCTTCGCTGGGTCTTGCTTGCTTTGCTCATTGGCCTCTGTGCCAGTGCTGGGGAACAAAAAGCTAAAAAGAAAGTGAAGAGTCAGTCCTTGTCAAGAGGTGGGCAAATCTACTTTTGTCAATATTCACAGCTCCAGTTAATGTCCTATAAACCTTTTCATAAGATCATTTATAGCTGTCAGACACAATAAAGTCAGAACTTTGCTTGTTTGGGGACATAGTTAATGTACTGGGAACATGCAGCAGTGTTATTGACCTCTGTATTTTTATTTCCTGCCTGCAGGATGGGGAGGTGGTATTAACTGGGCCCAAAATTATGAAGACGGCCTAGCAAAAATGGCCAAGAGGTAGGACTCTAAACCTCGGGTAAAGGTCCTGGATGTCAGTTTATTTTGTTTGGATAAGTCTGTTCCTTTGTTGTGTCTTTCTGCGTTGGAATGACGCTCCATTACTTTTCCATAAGGGAAACACATTATTACTTTAATCTTCATTTGTCTGTAAATCCAGCATGGGGACTTTGCTTTCTAAGGCATTGGGTTGTGTAAGACTGCCTTCACACCCTTCACTGTGTTTATTGTGTTGTGGAATGTACTGAGTTCTTTCTCCGTGGTTTTGTTCTCACAGTCAGAAACCTCTCATGGTCATTCATCATAAAGACAACTGCCCACACAGTAAAGGTACTGCTGCTACTTTGGTTTATTAAGTATGCGTATATATTAAAAAATATAGGCTTGCACCTCCTGCGCTGTCTTTCTCACTCAGACTTGGGCTTGTTTGTTTTCATGGGGAACACAATGGGTGCATTCTGTAATACCCACAAAGCAGGCAGTGAAGTATGTGAGAGTTATGTTCATAAATCACTCAGCTGGTTTTGTGAAATAAGCTCAGTGGAAGTCTCCACTGGCATTTCTTAACCCATAAACAATGAAGACCACCTACAGAGTGAAGTCTGGCTCTAAATTTTGAGTTTTGCTAGGGTGGACCAAAAGCAGCCCATTCTGCATCCTCCCGCTGAAAGTCTCAGAACACTGAAGCATTTTGTTTGATTGCAGCAAGTTGCATATATTTTTTATTAGTAATGTGTCCTCATTTTAACAAGACAGGATTCATATATTTATAGTGTGTTGTGTATTCCCTTACGTGAATCCTAAACACAGATATTCTAAAGGTCCAACCTGCCAGACTTGTTTGGCAATTTTATAAATGCAGTCTGTACTAACTTAACAGGCTTTACCTCCTTCTGACATTTAATAGGCAGAATACCATCCATCCATTCGCTTCCGCTTCTCCTTTTCAGGGTCGCGGGGGGCGCTATCCCAGCTGTCATAGGGCGAGAGGCGGGGTACACCCTGGACAGGTCGCCAGTCTGTCGCAGGGCTAACACACAGGGACAGACAACCATTCGCACTCACATTCATTTGCACATTCACACCTAGTGACAATTTGGATTATCCAATTAACCTATCCCCACAAGCTGCATGTCTTTGGACGGTGGGAGGAAGCCAGAGTACCCGGAGGGAACCCACGCAAACACGGGGAGAACATGCAAACTCCACACAGAAAGACCTGATGGTGGAATTGAACTCAGGACCTTCTTGCTGTGCGGCAACAGTGCTAACCACCGTGCTGCCCACCATATGCAAAGTTACATATAGGCAGAATACATTTATTAATATTTCCAGATCATATCATTCATAATTCATTCATAATTATTTGAAAGCCAGTCTAAATATAATACTAAACCAAAGTATTTCAACAGACCTGAAGAAGGCATTTGTTGCGGATAAGACTATCCAGAAAATGGCAAAAGAGGATTTCATCATGCTCAACGTGGTGGTAATTAAAGATATGTTACATATGCAGAAAATATATATATATATAATTATTTTATTATTAAAATAATGTGCAATAAATACTATATTGTTATACACAGGAAGAGACTTCGGACAAGAATCTGGCACCTGACGGTTACTATGTTCCCAGAATCCTCTTTGTTGGTAAATTCTTACATTATTAATATAATTTCAATATAGAAGAACAGACTGTTTACTTTCCTTGTCTGAGGTTGAACAGAGATACATGCATAGCACAGAATAAAACCATTTAAACCAGGCGTTAAATACAAACAGCGCCCCTTCATGGTGGAGTCTCTAATGAACAGTGAGCCAGTGAAAGGCCACTAACACTAACACTGGAGTACTTCTGCTTCTTGTCCCTTCAGTAATCTGGCTGCAGCATTTCAAAGTAATTGTAAATGAGCAAGAGCTGACTGACTAACTGGAGTCTACAGATGTCCAGTCTAGATGTAACAAAAGTATGCATAACCCTGCCTGATCTAATGGTTTGGATAGTCCCAATGTTCTTTTTGCTTCCTCACTCATTTTTCTAGATAAAGAATTTTACAGAAACACATTCAGTTTACAAAATGCACATCAGCTGTCACGTAATACTGATTACTTTCCTGAGCTGTTCATGTGTGTGGTTTTTCTACAGATCCAACCTTGACTGTGCGCACAGACATTACTGGAAAGTACAGCAACCACCTCTACACCTACACAGCGAGTAACATCCAGGACCGTGAGTGACTGTTCACTCTCTCTAATGACAGTTTGCACAGCTCACCTGTCAGCAGACTGCAGACACACTAATCCCCCACAGCTTGAACCCTATCCCTTCCTCAATATTTTGACAGAAATGACTAAGTTTTTTTTTTTATGAGATTGTTCTGACAGAAAGAATTTTGAGCTCCCTGTGGATGTTAGTGAGAAACTTTAGCAGACTTGTAGCACTAGTAGCCAAAGAGGTGGGAGGTTTGCGAATGCAGTGCAAGGACAAAGAGTCAATTTTTTACGAGGAAAAGAGAAGGCAAGTGAGGAATGTGACACTGTTTCTTCCAAATCTTGGCTTTGTCACTGGAAACTAAAAGCACAATTAACACGCTTAAAGCACCAGCATTCATTATGTCTTTGCTGATTACTGTTATGTTACTGTAAATCATTCATGGAGCTATTCTAGGTCCAAACCTTGTGATTATTGGTCGCAGGGACATTTGTCTTTAATATATTTAAAATCTAAACACAACAAGAGTTGGCTAGAGCGTATCCCAGCTGGGTACATCCTGGACAGGTTGCAGGGCTAACACAGAGACACAGACAACCTTTCACACTCACACCTGTGGGCAATTTAGAATCACCAGTTAACCCTTTGGACTGTACCTAGTGTGAACATGTAAACTGCACACAGAAAGGCCCCGGCCAGGCGAAGGAGTTGAACTCATGACCTTGTTGCTGTGAGGTAACAGTGCTAACCACGCCACCGTGATGCCCTGCCTGTAACTGTACAAACCTTAAAACAAGATATATTTAAAAAGCACAAAGTGAATCTGCCATCTCTGAAACAAACCCCGTAAGAAAAAATATATTTAAAATAAGAAGTTGAAGCACCCTGAAAAGGATAAGCAGAAGCGAATGGATGGATAAGAAGTTGAAGCCATTAAATGTGTAGTAAAGGAAAAGTAGCTGCAGGTTTAGGTTTAGTAGGAAACCTAAACCTGCAGCTTAGGTTTAGGTTTCATTTCTGAACTACTTCACTCATGTAAGAGCACTGCAGGCCTTGCTCTTATTTGTCCCCTCTTTGTCCACAGTGGCCGACAACATGAAGAAAGCCAAAGTCCTGCTGCACAGCGAACTCTAACGTGGTGCTTGACGTCTCAGCATCTTCCACACATGACTGCTCTGTGGCCAGAACTGAATTATTTAAATGCTTTTGGTGCTCATTAAAACCAAAGTAAAGGAAAAGAAAGTCATCTTCAGTCTTTCTCACTTTCATGCAACACTTCATATGTAATTAAACTACTCATTAAAAACACAGTGATAATGCTTATTTAGAACTGTTTATGATGGTATTGTTCCATAAGAAGTTGATTAGGCAGTGTTTATCTGTGTTGTTGTTGTGACTTTTAATTTGAAAGTGAATATTACATCAGAGCAAAAGAACTCAGTGAGAATCACTAGAAAACATAGTGTTGATTATTTAGTATTATTTACGTGTGCTAAAATCACAGATATTAAAAAATTTGATGTAAACAAAATAAAGCATCCTGCTTTGTATCAAAGGTTCATGGTACTGGTGATGGTGTAATGATGTGGGGAAATGTTCTTGACCCCAGCTGAGCATTGTTTAAACACCACAGCCTGCCTGAGTATTGCTGTTGACCATGTCCATCCATTTGTGTACCCACCCTCTGATCGCTGCTTCCAGCAGGCTACTGCACCACCAAAGCTGAGATCATCAATCTAGATTCTTGATCTCAGTCCAATACAGCACCATTGGGATGTGGGGGAACAGGTAATTTTCACCATGGATGCAAATCTGCAGCAGCTCTGTGATGCTGTTATCTCAACATGCAACAAAATCTTCAGCACCTTGTTGAATCTATGCCACGATGAATTAAAAACAGCTCTGAAGGGAAAAAGAGTTTCCAAACCAGTACTAACAAAGTGTAACTAATTAAATGGCCAGTGAGTGTGTCTAGGATTTCATGTCACGGTTTGTGGTATTTTTGGCCACTAGGTGGCAGTGTACTATAGCTGACCAGGGTCTCATGCTGTTGAGAATTTTTCCAGAGAAATTGAATTTACTCAAATATTAATTGATGGGATATTTTAATCTGATCAGTTATATATGCTAATAATAAAAAGGTTGTTTTTTTAGTACTTTGATAATAATATTGAACATATCAAATGATCTACATTAAATACCCCTTTTTTTTAATTGTTGAGAGAGTTGATATATTTTTGTTAAACAAATAAGTCTGTGCTTGAAGCTCAGCAGACTTCATATTGTCGCAAAGGCAGTTTGATCTACAGTCGAGTTCCTGGGTAATCCTTGCATTTTATCTCAGGCTGTGTCTCTGCTTCACTTGTTAAATGGTCTACTGAAAGCAGAGAAGACAATTGCAAAGTTAAAAAAACATAAGATAACTCAGACCTAGACAGAATGAGACCATGCTGCACTGCCACAAATAGCCACCATGCAGTTTTCCACTGTCATAGTTTGGATTAATGAGCTGCTTTTAATTGTTATGGCTCCACTATGGTGCCTTTACCTTTTAAAGCAGAAAGGCAACAGCATGTTAATGCTTCCCAAGCCCGCATTAACGTCAGCTCTCAAAACTCTTTTATATCCATTAAGATCCATCCTAAAAAATATACACTTTCACTCTGCATTTCTTTGAATTCAGAGAAAAGCACAGAAACAGGAAAACACTTTAAATGGGTCAGAATGTTCCATTCCTAAATATTAACATCTACTGAAGGAACTGATCACTGAGAAATGATTAAATTATTCACACCTCTGTTGCACTTTCTCCTGTGTTTCCACGTTCAGCGCAGATGTCTGAAGCAATTGTGTGTCTGCTTTCCCTTCATGTTTTTCAGTTTTTCTGTCTTCAGATGGACCCAAGATGATTCATCGTGAACTCCTGAGATTTTCCAGATATTTTCCCCTCTTTCTTAAGAAATAGTTTCAACAGCTTACCCTCCTGGGTTCATAACAAATGTGCTTTCTACCAAGGCTTTCCTGTATCCTTGGCTTGACATTTCAGTCTTTGGAAAAGTGCAGTGCTGTTTCAGCGCACTGTGAGGAATAAAAACAGAAACAAATCCTCTCCAGCTTCCCCAAGAAACTGTTGTATTTCTGTAGGAAAATATCTCCAACATCACTTGACGAAAATGAAGAATTATTCAGAGATGGTTGATGTTTTCGATTTAGAGATAGCTCTTAAACTTCTTAAACAAGCTTCTAAATCGAAGCAGTTTAATGGCTGTATGGAAACACAAACACACACACACACACACACCCTCAATAAACAGCCATGTGTAAAATATTGGAAAAATACGTAAATGTGGGTGTAAGCGAGTGTAAACACGCAGCTGCCACTGCACATAGTTCATAAAAACACAGATTTGCCCCCATGCCCAAACTTTCTCGAGGTTACTTCTTAAACACAAGGTTGTTTCCACATCAGCAGCAAGTCTGAAGGTCTCATTTTACTACAAATACTCTCCAATCTGCTGTTTTCAGTCCTAACCTTGCAAAAATGACTCAGGGTGACACTGTGTGGGAAGGCAAATTATAGCATAGCATTTCATTCGAGACATGCTTATGCTGAAGGACAGTGGGGAAAAAACATGAAAAAACAAAAGATCTCCTTTATTTGAATATTTAAGAGTAAGCTAAGGAACTATTACTTCGCCTCTGTGGGCCGCTCTCCTTAAACATGAATTATTCAGCTTGTAAAGATAACTGGATCAACACTCATACGTAATGTGTTGATCTTCTTTGTCATTGTAACTGTATTTGATAATAAAACAAAGATGAGCATTTGCACATTTAATGCAAAGTAAGGTAACTTTATTTATACCCATAGGCAAGGTAAATTTGCTTTACAGAAAAATGATAGCATTTGGCATCCCTTCAAGAAAAAAAAAACATATTAGTATGAAAAATGTTAAATAAATCTGCTTTAAAACAGCAGAACAACAAAATAAACCTTTAGACAGTTAAAACACAAGATGAATCTATGAAATGTTATAGACTGGTGATCTAAAATATAGAGGGTCATTAGGGTCAAAGGCAGCAGGGGGAAACTCAAGCTACTTATACACAGTGGGGTACACAAAGTAATGACAACAGCTGGGGGGAACAACACAGGCGCCGACAACTATGGGACAGGACTGAGGAAAGTAAAACTGAGTGCTAAACACACGAGACAAGGGGTTAACAAAATAAAACAGGAAGTAACAGAACGGCAACACCTCACACAGAGATGAAGACACAACAAGACACAACACAATAACAAAAAGCTTGAAACACCATACAAAGGACATACAACTTGGTCATTAGGATAAGGCAGTCCACACCAGTCACAAGGAGAGCACAACGGAAAAATAGAACTCAAAGCCAAAAACACACAATATGCTGACACTGGGATCATCGTGATAAAGACCCAGCACATCCTGTGTAGTCCACCAAACCAAACCAAGCTAATGCCCCCAACACCTCACACAAAACTGCTCAGGAGCAACAGACAGATGACAGACGGATCAACGATGCTTCGGACTAACCCCAGTTTAAGTGAGCATACACGGGGTCCACCCGGTGCTCACAGTACCCAAAGGATCCACTGCAGACATCCACAGTGCCAGAAATCACAAGACACCTGAAGAGATTCACAGCTGCATTATATGTAGTGAATGCAACATGGCGCAGGAAATTTAAACTATGTTCTGTACATGTGGACTGTGTCCTAGTAGTTACAGCTATCTGTGGTCAGCTGCAACATGCAACTGAGTTTCACTTATTCCAAGGATAACTAGAAGTTATAAATATTATAACAGTAATTATAAATATTACTTTTACGGTCACACTGTATGGGAGAGACTAAAAACAGGGTAAGAATCCTTACATTTACAGAAGTATTGCTGCTGACTGTGATGTCAAGCACACAGAGACGCACTCATTTCTCAGATCTTCAGTTTGACTTTGGCAGTGACAAGGGCATCGGGCTATTAGTCCTCGTTTGCACACTGCTTGGACAATTTAGCTACTCAAATAGAGCCCGCTTACTGGAAAACAGCTCCTTAATGAAGAGATGGACCGGTAATATGCCATAAAACTATTCTTTTATTCTTTCCTCGCACCCTCATGAATACACGCTGCCTGTATGCACACAGAGCCACTAAGTACACCTACGCATATGCACACTTAAACCCATACTTAAACAGACACACACACGGCACGCACGCATACCTCAAATGCAAGGGCAGAATGATAATGTGATCTGGAGGAAATGGTGCCAGTTTTGCCACGTAAGTCAAAAAGGTCAAATTGCAAATGTCAGCTTTTTCGCCTTCATTTTAATTATTCTGTCAAGTTCAAAGAGTCTCCATCAGAAAGGAGCTGCACCTGACAAAGGAAGGCCTGAGCTCACAGATAAGCTCAATCTGCGTCTCTTCTTGACACTTTCTTCTCTATACTTAGCCTATCTACTCTCCTCTCGCACACAGCGACTCTCAGAGTAAATTACAATGTATCGCAGTGAGCAGGGTGCCAAAGGGATGGCTTAGCAATTACCAGTGAACTATGAATGTGAAGTCAATTAATTTCTTCTGCTACTCTTCTACTTAGCTGATTTTGTACAAACTCAGCTGATACATGATAAAGTGTCCACTTTTGGTTCTGATAGGCAGATGGTAACAACGTATCGATCCACTATTACACATACAGCACTGATAAAAGGAGAGTATCCCACTGTCAGTTCTGTAGTTTTACATGTCAGGACAAAATCACCACAGCAGTTCCATCAGGTTGAAATGAAGAATTTGTGCCATTGCAACACTTTGATTATTTTCTTTTTCAGCCATTCTGCTGTTTTCTGCTGTGCTTGGGATCATTTTGCTGCTGTGTGACCCAGTTTTGCCCAAACCTTGTGACACAGATGGCCTCACAAGAATGCTTTGGTATAAAGAGGAGTTCACTAAATAAGGTTCCCAGGTCTTGTGGTTGTAAACAAGCTTTAAATCATCACATATTAAATCAAAACGGATCAAAGCCCTCCACTACCATTCTTGACAGTTGGTTTGAGGTGTTTGTTCTTATAAGTTTGTGTGGTTTTCTCCAAATGTGTTGCTGTACATTATTTCCAAACATCTCCACCTTGCTCTCTGCTGTCTGAAGCACATTGATCAAAAAGTTCTGTCGTTTGTTGCAAACCTAAGCTCGTGTTTTTTCCTGGCAAC